AAAACTTATAATGCAAATTCTATGAATATGCACAGTATATAAGTATTCGCATAGTAATTCGCCTCACAGACATGGTGCTGGAAATTCATATAGCCAGTAAACCATGCATGCATGGCACAGGAACAAAACCATTCTTACAGCTATTTGGTTCTCTTTTTTTTCCATGAAATAATTATAAAAAACTCTTTTCAACTTCAGCTATTTCTATCCAATGACACCACCAAATACATGAAGTCACATTTGAATGCTCTGCTTTTGTTAGATTGATAGTTATCACTGCTTTATTTAGTAAGCACATACATATGTATAATGTCACTTCACATCACACCTTTGTTTCTTATCAAGAAAAGGATACAGAAACATGACTGGGCTGCTGAATATGTGATTATATGACATCTAAATGATCAATGTTGTATGTCCCACTGCATCAGCTTACATAATTTCTTTTTTTTTCAGAAAACAATGGATTGTATTAAGACAATAAAGCTGACACTTAATGCTATGGTTGGTATCCACACCAAATTTGAGAAGGGATTAATACCCAAATCTGAGTTGACCAATCAGGTGCTAGAGATCAACATGCAAATGAACCAGGAGCTGAACAAGTTTGGGAGCTCATTTGATGACATAAAACAGAAGGATAATAAAATAAAGGAGCTGTTATCCTCAATATTCTGCCAAGCGAGTCCCTACTAGAGACAGTTAACTCAACCCGTTACATGGTGGAGAATCCAAAGTTTAGCGCGTCGTGAGATACGATCGAGGCGGCGATTTGAGCGGCCAGCCGCCAGTGGCAAGCCGGTGCGGGCAGGCGGTGATCGATGGAAAATGGACCACGTGTAGTGCTAATGGGGGGAAAGGAGAAAAGGGCCACTGTGAACGAGAAAAGGACCACTGTGAACAATGGACAGGTGCGGTACACCACAGGCAATAAATAACTCGTCATCTGGTATTTTGTCCACCTCGTTTTTGGACTCCCATTTAATTTCACCCCATATTTCTACCCCGTTCTACGAAAATAACGTACCAGACTTTAGCCTCAGGACACGTCGGACACCCGTTGTCGATGTTTTAAAGAACTCATTTGTCAACATTACAGACACTCCCATTTCACATGTAAAATTTCAGGAAAAAGATGACAAAGTGAGTAGTGATTGTACCAGCACCATGGCCAAAATCGTTTGCGAGACATTTTCGGGCTATCCTCATGAAAATGCCCAAAGGTTTATATCACAATTCAACTCATATTCAATGTTTTTAAATCTACAAAATGACTCTAGGAAAGTGGCAGCTTTCCACCTGCATTTAAAGGGACCTTTTCTCTACAGTGTCGTGGTTTAATGCATTAACAGAAAAAGACTGGGCAAATGTATTGTTCCAATTTAAATCACGGTACTTTCTGACCGCCGAGGGTCAAAGTCCAACACTTTTCCTAGAAATGGAAAACCTTTCCAATTTAAAACTGATATCTGGTCAACCCCTAGAAGATTTCCACGCCGCCGTTGTTGAGAAAGGGACAATGCTGGGTAAACCAGAATATGAAATAAAAGTTAGTTTTTCGTACGGGCCGGGGCACCTAAGGACAATACTCAAGCCAAACTTGGGGAGTCCTGCGGGTACCGGGTGGACTCTCAGCCACCTGTAGTTGCAGCGGTTTCAAAGTTACCTGTCACATTCAGCGGCCGTGATAACAGCTTACAAGAACTGAAGGTACAGGTCGATAATTTGACTCGTGCTATGGAGTGTCAACACATGCGTGCGCCTCCACACATGTCTACGCCGGAATCTAATACACCCCAATGTCATAAGTGCCATGGTCAGGGACACCTCAGGGCAGAGTGTAATTGGAATGGGGAGGATGAACGAGCTAGCCATGCTCAGTGCCAACTGTGTGGGCAATTTGGACACATAGCCATTAAATGTCGGTGCTATACCGATCCACCCCACACCAACCAGCCACAGGGAAATGCTCACTTCCCGAGAGGAAATCGCAGCCTCTTGGGAGACAGACGCTGAAGCACAGTCGCGATAAACCCCCAGAACGCCTTTGTGCGGCGAATATTGAATGGAAAAATGAGTCACACTTGTAGTACTAATGACACAGATAGTGGTGAGAATGAGACTGACAATGAAAGTGATGATTTTTTTTATTCAAATTCAAATTGTAAATTTATGTTTATGCCTGTGCACGTTTCAAATATCAAATATAATTGTTGAGCCAGATGGGAACAGTGTCATTCCTATATGTGTTTGGATACGATTGGAACAGTGTCATTCCTACCACTTGTCGAGTTGGATGGGAACAGTGTCATTCCTATTTTTGTTTAAATTGTAAATGGTTACCCTATGTTGTCATATTTAATGCATTGGTGGAACTGTTTCTCTTACTACACTGAATTGTAGTTGTTTGGGATTAAACACAATTAGTATGAGCATACATTACATTATTACCTATGTAGATAAGGAGCCACTTAAGCTACTCTCAGGTTCCCAGATTAACATCCCACATTTTGTTTCATAATGATTTGAAGTATTTTGACAAATTGTTTTGACACTAGATAGTTGCGAGATTGTTATTTTTTTTATTGGATATCAAACAAATTGGATGAATGATGTGTGTATGGTTCAATATGATTTTCTCATGCTTCATCATTTTGTATACTTTTTAATAATGATGGTTAGATGGTAGTTAAGTTGACAGTATATGGTCATGCAAACCAGTCTGCTTAATATGGTATTGCCTTCATATGTTTCTGAGGAGTATTCTGTCAATTATATTGATTTGAGATGTGCGAAGTGTAAATTTGTGTCCGAAATAGAAAGTTTACAAACTTTTCATTACACTAATTGGGAGTAAACGGTCACTATATGTATCAATGCAATATTGGCCATTATGTTGTGATCTGGTATTGATTGCTAACAGCTAAAAAGGGTATAGTTTCAATTATTGACATTGTTAATATTTTTGTTTTACTTTTCATACACGTTTGTTATACCTTTCAAGAGAGTTTAATAGTTCCAATTAGAGTTCAATATTGTATTTCCTTCTATTTTTTTTTATATTTTTCCTTATATCTAGTGTTTGATTTTCAAAATATAACAAATTCGTGCATGTTGGATGTCATACTGTAATAGCTAATATACTCTTATATGTTTTCTGTTTAAACATCAGTCATATATTCAATCATGTTTTTGAAATAATATCAATCCGGCAAATTTGAAGTCACTTTATAATTTCAATCTTGTACACACCTTTGGATGGTTTGTTATATAAAAATAAATTGGGTCCAATTTTTGTTTTGCGGGGGGATGTTATATATAACGTATATTATTGTGAACCATACAATTGTGTGATTAATTAATATTACATAAGTACTATAGTTACATTTGTATGTTTTTGGTGTAAGAGAAGTAACTCCAATTATGATTATATCATTTGCCAATTGTAACATCATGCATGTTCTCCCTTGGAGGGAACTCTTTAATTTGGAAGGGAATACAAGTGAAGATCACGAAAATGAACGGTTGTGTGTTATGTTATCCTCAATATTCTGCCAAGCGAGTCCCTACTAGAGACAGTTAACTCAACCCGTTACAATTGACGACTACGGAATTTTTGGAGTTTAGGTCTTGTGCTGTAGTGCGTTGTAATGTACCGATGTTATGTTGTCTTTTGTAACTTGGCACCTGTAAATAACTGTTAAAAGCTAGTACTTATGACACTGATGAAAACATTCATTTGTATATAATTAATTGATTATTATAAACGGGCCACACAACCTTGATTATTTTAAGATAGGCCTATTGGAGGCGTGTTGTTCCGAGTGCGGTAGGCTAACAACCGCCGGTAAACACTCCCTGGCTTATGACGGTCCTTTCATATCTTAGTCATTGGGTAAAAATGTAAAATCACAAAAACACTGAGCACCTGGCTCTTTTTTCACTCTATGACCCAAAATCATAGGACAAAACTATCAAAATTTAGAATTTCAATATTTGATTAATTTTCCTTATTATTACATTCATTAAGTAACAAAGTTTCAGTAAAACAACATCAAAAGATAATGATCAACAACTGTAATATTATACAGGACTACAAAGACGGTGAAAAACCAAAATGTCACTCACGTAACATGGACAGAATTGCTTCTTTACATTCAGTATAAATATTGGACCGAGAGCAAAACTATTAAAAATTAATTACTACAGAGGTACCTTCAAGTTGTTTCTTAACATTAACCTGTTTGTTAATTTCTATACTTTACTTAAAAGTTAAAAAAAAAGCATTGTTATTTTCATGGATTCAATTTTATTTGAGTGATAAATTTTGCCTTCATCACTTCATAACAGGCTTTTGAAATATCAACAATATTGAGACATCAATATACACATAAGTTGTCACTATGTTTACTTGTAATTCCTATCTGCACAAGTTGTACATTTTTTCCCAAAAAATCAACAAATCTGCAATCCTCAATTTTTGGTCACTCATGTAACATGGACGGAATAATTGTATAATTGATGTTCATGTGGACATGTAAATAAAAGATTGTAAAAAACATGCATTTTTTCCATTACATATCTAGTCCTCTTATTAGTGATTTGCAATATAGTATGATTTAGTGGAGCAAAATAATCAAAAAACAATCTTGTTTCGGCAAAAAAACTTTGAACAAATAGCATATATTATTAATAAACTACTTGAATGTTGACAATAATATGAGAAAACTGCCCAATCAATATCATAACAAACTTGGCCAATATGGGACAAACTGGGCCAATATCGACGAACTTGGCCAATAGGCGATAAACTGGGCTAATATCCATAACATGCCAATTGAACGCTTCATTTTAAATGGCAGTAGACAACAAACCATGGAGCGAGCATCCGAGAACTCCACCAAAAATGGGGAAGACATGCTAGCGGCTTATTGTATATATGACATTACTAGATACAAATTTAATGAATAAATATAAATAATACAAATCATAAATATTTAATAAATAATGATTTATTATCCGGCCTTGGGCCAATATGATGGACCTTGGCCAATATGGAATTAGCTGATTATGACCTTAAAATCTAACATGCATGGCTCTTTGAATCATTCTTTAAAATTTGAAAAACTGGCATCTGTTGGTACTATTGGAAGACAAAAGTGGCATAGGTAAGAGTTCCTTGACAGACTGGTAATTTTCCCAACTGAAGTCATCTTTGTCGGGCCACATGTAATGCCCTGCAACGGTGGTCCCCTTCATGTATTTTAACAATACTTCCTCTTCATCCTCCTTGACATCAACGATCTGGAATTTAAGTTCAAAATAGAGTGCAAATCATTTGAAAACAGTGCATGTGAAAACGTGAAGAAAAAGTTATTTAATTATACACCTGAGCAGACTACTTTATAATTATAAATGATAATCAGTGGTTGATGTGAAGAGGCTGTATCAATTTTTAAAGGCTGAAATAACTGCTTGATATAAAGGAATAGCAGTATATCTTTGTACCAAATGACTCTAAGAATCTCTCATTGCTTTGAAATGATGTCACCCTAGTAAATTACTAGTCATAATGAATGCGTGAACATAAACAGAATGATTAGAACAAGTTTTAAAGAAACAACTTCCATAATAATCAAAACAAGCAATGACCTCAAATTTGGTCAAACAGTAACAAAACTGATACCTCTGCAATATAATCTTTTTGCCTTTTTCCGAATGGAAGGGTCACTCGAACAAATTGTCCAGTTTTCAACCTTGACAGTATAAAATAATAAGGTTAACCACTGAAAGGCAATAAAATAAAGACCAAAGCTGATTAGTTATAAAGGCGTTCAATGTTTTAATGCAACTTATCCATTACAAATTTCAGAATTTTCTCTGATGATTCTTCCAGATATAAATGATTGTAAATTAATACTGAAATACCCACCCATTAACTATGTACATATATGATGTGCACCTGGATTTGGATTTATCTGGGCTGCTGGAGACGAGGTCCAAAAGGGATGATGTAAATGATAGGTTAAAACTGCTCTCCAAGTCAAGATCATCACCTATGGGCAATATAAGAAAAATGGTTTATTAAAAACAAATCTGAAATAAAGCCACTGACTTTTGTAAATTAAAATTTATGTTCAATTTATCTTGTGAATTCATTCAAGGTTGAACAAAATAACTTTTGAAGTTTTGAAAATAATTATTGAGATGTTTAGCTTATTAGAACATGGACAAGTCAGTAAGGGCCCATTAACCTGTAAACATAATGCAAACCCACCAAACAGTAGGATAATTATAAGTTGATTACTTTAGGGTACCTTATCTTGATCATGTGGGACCCCAATTACCATTTTATCACCTAATGGATATGAGACTATCTATTTTGGTTTGGACAGAAATTGTATGTTAAATACTATTCACCATTGAAATGTGTTGGTAAGATGTTGTCCAGATAGCTCATATCAGTCAATTCTACCAAAGTCTCCGGACCATCAGCTGAAGACAAAAAGCAGGATAATCTCAGTTACCATCCTCAATACAAAACCTGTGTTCTTTTGTTGCATATTTATGGATTAATTATTAACTCAAACAACATGACATCGTATTTTAACTAAATTGAAATATCAAATTATTAAAATAAAAACTACTGAAAACACATATAATCGATCTGCAACATATATTATGTTGATATTTATACATGTATTGTCAATTTCTTTGAGGACTTTGAAAAAATAGTCAATGTCATCCGCAACAAACTATTCAGTAATGCATGACTTATCATTACCAGTGGTCAACTGTGACTCAATATCAGAGGTCACAGGGGCATCAGCTCCAGCACTCGTCTGTAATATAGGGTCATTGATCACATCAGGCACTGGGGTATGTGGCACAGGGGCATTAGTAGCAGGTGGCACAGGGACTTGGGTAAAAGGTGGAACTGGGGCATCGGCAGCAGTTGGCACAAGGGTATCAGTAGAAGATGGCACAGGGACATCAGCCTCATGGGGGTTATTTACCACTATAACATTTTAATAACAAGAGGCCTAAGGGCCTTAGCGGTCACCTGAGTTATATCATAGGTACTGGTAGCTTTATTTTATTGTTTAGATGTGATGTGGAAATCAGCATGTAAACTAAGTGAAATACAATACTTGTCATGTCATCAATGGATAAGAATTTGAAAATATTGGTAAATGTTCCCTTTGGGGCCCCGC